ACAGCCTTAACTACCAAGCTATCATTTGTCAAAAAGAGCAATTTTCAAAATTCTCCAAACAGGTTTAATAATGTTTTAATCTAGTAACATATATTTATGGATGAACATATTTTCCTTTGAGAAACGTGACTAGATATTAATTTACATTTGTTAACGAAAAACTTCAGACAACAGTCTCTCATTATTATCTGAAATAAATAATTAACATAATTTCCTGCAATCAGAAAGTGAACTCCTTTGTTTATTTTACATGTACTCAAAGAGAAACATGTGAAAAAAATGTGTCAGGTAAATAAATTTAAAACAAAAAAAAATTCTCATCTAAAAAGAATCCAATCTTAATTGTTGGACTTCAACACACATTTGTCACACTGGAGATTAAACTGTTTCCTTTTCCTGATCCCTAACCAGACAACATACCCCTGCCAAGATAAGAGAAAACAGTCATTATTGTTGATCAAAAAACATCGTGGTGAGTTAAATAAATAAAATTAATGGACAATGACTGAGAAGAAACAGAAAGGAATATATCTACAAAACCAATCAATCTTGGTTTCATCCAAAGCCTCTGTGACCAAAGCACTTGGAAAACAAATAAACTCCAGAACAACACCAAAGAGAAAATGAGAGATACCAAGGTTAGCAACTTATTTCGCTTTTCATCACTTATCTCCAAGTTAAGATGCTCAACAATAAACAAGGGGGATGTAATGATAGAGACAGACAGAATGGGAGGAATTGGTCCAGAGTTCCCATGTAGCATAGAACTTCAGACCTCACAAATCTGTTGCCCCTCTTTGAAGGTGTCTTATTCTGGGCTGGTGATCGTGGCCCTTTTTTTAAAACTGCACTTGCGGTATTATCAGTTTCGAAATGTCTCATTTTCCTTTTGTCGATGGTCGATTGGTCTTTCAAGAACCAGGAGATCAGGAAGCCTTATTATGGAACTGTGAGTGAAAGAAATTATTAAATGACATTATCCATTTATCACGACGCCAGATCCTACTAATGTTACATGGATATAACAAAAAGTTTCTTTTCATTTTTAAAACCCTTTGGAAGTGTATTTCCATTCTCTCAAATGAAACAAATCTTCTTGCTTGTACTTTAATGAGTCCAGACTCTGTCCTCTGTCGTTGATGCACTCTGATGTGTGTCTGTTCATGGATGTGCAAGAGTCATAGGGTTCATGGTTTTGATATATAGCACAAAACTTCAGGCCTCTTTAACACATTACTAGGGTGTTGCTCCTGTTTATTACATCTTTTGAGAATCACTTAAGTCATTCATGTCTTTTGCAAGTTTTATATTTATTTATCTTTCTGCTTTGAATGTATAATGTATATTTTCCTAAGAAACAACTCTGAGTCTTTCATACAATTGATGACTGGCCAAGTTTTTTGTTACACAAGCTTGTATTTCTGTGTTTATTACCCTTAAAGAAGCAATGAGTTCAGTTGCAATCCATGCCTCAAGTTTTAACAACCTCGAACAAAGCAGTGTAACAGGGAAGAGGGTCCATTGGATCTTTGTAAGGAAACAAGCAGTTTCGGGATGACAAAGATGAGGAGTGTAAGACTACAATGAAGTTGCATCACAATCTGGACAAACATTGAGGAAATCTTTTATTTGATAATAAATTACATTAAAGAACAAACTTTCCAAACTTTTTTAATAAAACTTATTTGTTTTTCGATTTGTCAGATTCTTCATTCCAATGAGAGTATGCCTTATTGCCAGCTCTTTATTGATAACTGTATGGATAAATGAGTGAGTGAGTGAGTTATATTTCATATATTACCTGTCAGATTATCTTCATTCCAATGAGAGTATGACCAGGTTGCCAGCTCTTTATTGATAACTGCAACCTATGGATGAAAACCTGAGTGAGTGAGTGAGTGACCTCTGTGTGTGAGGTGGGTGGCTTTGTGAGAGAGTGAGTGAGTGATCTCCAGCAACCTCTGTGTGTGGTGGCTTTGTGAGTGAGTGAGCAACCTGTGAGTGAGTGAGTGAGTGAGTGAGTGAGATTTTCAATCCATTCTGCAAAAATATATTTCAGCCATATCAGCAACCTCTGTGTGTGAGTGGGTGGCTTTGTGAGTGAGTGAGTGATCTCCAGCAAACTCTGTGCGTGAGTGGGTGGGTTTGTGAGTGAGTGAGTGAGTGATCTCCAGCAACCTCTGTGTGAGTGTGTGGCTTTGTGAGTGAGTGAGTGAGTGAGTGATAGCTGATCTCCAGCAACCTCTGTGTGTGAGTGGGTGGCTTTGTGTGTGAGTGAGTGAGTGATATCCAGCAGCCTCTGTTGGAATCTGTGGATTGGATGGCCAGTCTTGACATGGTTGTCAATCTACCATAACAGGATATCACGATATCAATCACTGGATTAATTGGTTCAGACTGGATTACTCACAATCCTCAGTCATGGGCTGGAATAGTGCAGAGCTCCAAATAAACAACAAAAATAAGAAAGAATAAGAAAGACTAAGAAAAATTCACCCACCCTTGAGCCAATGTGCCTGAGTATGTGAATGAGTTTAGACTTAAGACACTAAGCAGTATCCCAGCAACATCACAGCGGGGGACACCAGAAATGGGCTTCCCACCATGTACCCATATGGGAAATCAAACTCCAGTTTTCAGTTTCACTATGCTACCCAACCGCCCCTGTGCTTGAGTAACATAGTGAGTGAGTGAGTTTAGTTTTATGCCCCAGTCAGCAATATTCCAGCTACATGGCGTCTGTAAATAATTGAGTCTGGACCAGACATTCCTGTGAGCAACATCATGAGCATCTATACACACAATTGGGTGTCAACCAAGTCAGCGAGCCTGATAACCCATTCCCTTAGTCGCCTCTTACAATAAGCACGGGTTATTGAAGACCAATTCTAACCCGGATCTTCAAGGGAGTAACATAATGAGGCCTGATAGCCTGGTCTATGGGTACAGGGGAGCCACGTGTTTGTAGTGACCGTCTGTGCTGCGACTCTGCTGGTGTGTGAGGAATCTGAAGTTTCCACAACAATAACTCTGATTTGAACAAGACAAACACCGTGGAAGAGGAACAGGATGGGGTTACATGATCACTAGCTGTTGCTGTTCGCTCAGTCCAGCTTCAACCTTGGTCTGTCAGAAAACAAATGGGAAACAATCAGCCAGTTCCAAGACAAATAACTGGAAGGCCTACCCATTACAATGGTGACTGCACAATGCTCTCACCACTCCGGCACTGAACAGGGCCAGGTGGGGTGTTACACACAACAAATGGCATCCACAGTAATAGCCACACGTTTGGTTTGGCACCGATGGAACGTAGCCATTATTTGTCTTATTTCGGAGAACAGAGTAATTGTCTAAGTTAAAGCATCAGAAAGTAAGGCTTATGGTGCAAAGATCCCACACATATGCTTGTCAGTTATTTTCCGCTGGTTCTGCTACTTCATTAGAGCAATTCACCTGTTTCTTGCTGGAGTTGATCCTGTTGGAATGTCATTTGTCTTTCTCCACAATTACCAGGGAGATCTACCGCAGAATCTTTCACTGTAACCATCTTCCCACTGCCCACTACATCATTGTTTTCCCCATCTTCCGTATCTTCAAGACTCCCCTACTACTGAGAATTTACCATCTTTACAGAAATTCTGTCATCTTCACAAGTTCCTGAACTCTAATTTTAACGTTGTTCCCAATTATTTATCGTCGTTTTTAAGTCGTTCCCTTCCCTATTGCCGCCTATTTTCAAGGGTTTCACACGTCTCTATGTATTCTCCACATTCAAGTGTTCCCTGTCAGAATGTTCTCCACATTCAAATGTTCCCTTTCTCCTAGTACATGTCCAATCTTCAAATGTTGCAAGTCTTCAATTGGTCCAATCCATCAAATGTTGCAAGTCTTCAATTGGTATTTCAAGTATTTCCAACTTTCAGAATGTTCTCAAGTGTTCCTCATCTTCAAATATTTCCCATCTTCAAATATTCCCCATCTCCAAGTGTTCCCCAACTTCAACTGTTCCCCATCGCCAAGTGTTCTCCATCTTCAACTGTTCCCCAACTTCAACTTTTCTCCAACTTCAAGTGTTCCCCATCTCCAAGTGTTCCCCAACTTGAAGAGTTCCCCATCTTGAAGTATTACCCATCTTTAAATATTTCCCAGCTTCAAGTGTTTCTTCAAGTGTGTGCCTTCCTTTCTTTTGCCAGCAAGGAAATTCTTCCCACTTCTAATAAGTGTTTCTCATCTCCAAGTATTTTCCAAATTTGGTGTTCCCCATCTCCAAGTATTTTCCAAATTTGTTGTTCCCCATTTCGAATATTTCTTTACGAATGTTCCCCATCTCAAAGTGTTCCCCATCTCCCCCATCTTGAAGTGTTCCCCATCTCAAGTGTTCCCCATCTTGAAGTGTTCCCCATTTCCCACTGTTCCCCAGCTTGAAGTGTTCCCCAACTCCCAAGTGTTCCCCATCTTGAAGTGTTCCCCATCTTGAAGTGTTCCCCATCTTGAAGTGTTCCCCATCTTGCAGTGTTCCCCCATCTTGCAGTGTTCCCATCTTGCAGTGTTCCCCATCTTGCAAGTGTTCCCCAGCTTGAAGTGTTCCCCATCTTGCAGTGTTCCCCATCTTGAAGTGTTCCCCATCTTGAAGTATTTCCCAGCTCAAGTGTTCCCAACTTGAAGTGTTCCACAGCTTGAAGTGTTCCCCAACTTGAAATATTACCCATCTCCAAGTATTTCCAAGCTTCAAGTGTTTCTCCAAGTGTGTGCCTTCCCTTCTTTTGCCAAAAGGAAATTCTTCTCACTTACTTTCCTTATTGACACTGTTCCGATACCACACCTAAACCCCTCATTCTAACCTCTGGCTAATTCCCTATCAGTTTTCACCACTTTGCATACAACAAATTGTTCTGTTTGCATTTAGGGTTTTTTATGGCCAAGCTGTCAGCATCACAGAATACAAGTCAAACATGGATTCCCAGTCATTTCAGATTTGTGGCCTTTCACAAAAAAACATGAGACAGACGAAACAAGAGCTGGGGAATAATCGCCAGGACAATGGCTCAAAGCTCACAGGAAATAAGCCCATTCGATTTGAAAATGTCAGTTCATGAAAAAAGCGGCAGTGCAATATAAAGTTAGACATGTGATCAAAACTTGGTGGTACCTCGGGTAGATACATAGTCCCCTTAAATATGAAAAATCTACAGTGTGAGTGAGGGAGTTTAGTTTTACGATGCACTCAGCAATATTCCAGCAGTTTGTAAATAATTAAGTCTGAAACATTCCAGTGATCAACAGCATGAGCATCAACCAAGTCAGCGAGTCTGACCACCCGATCCCATTAGTCGCCTCTACTGAAGATCAATTCTAACCCAAACCTTCACGGCTATTCGATGTGAAAATTAACAAAAATGAAATCTCCCTTAAGTTCACCCATTCGGTTTCTTGATGCACAGATGATCTTGTTTAATTTTAAGGGTACCAAAGATGCATAACAGAAACAACAATATTGTCAAGACAGATTTGACATGTTAAAAAATATGTTTTGAAAAAATATTCTTAAAAATAAGATTTTCATCCACCAAATACACCTTTCATAACAATCTGGCAAGTTTAGTGTAGGTTTTTGCCTGTCTTTAAAAGAATATTGAAATAAGTCACTCATATATGACACTCACTTTTGCATTCAAGCAAACTTTCCAAATATAATATTTTCTATCAGACCATATTTTTTTACTCCAAGTTCCAGTTTCACAAAGCGTATACTCGAACTTCGTATTTGGACAGCCTAAAAAATAGTGCCTAAGATTCCCATCAGTTTTTAAAAAACAGCCATTAAGTTTTAAATTCATAAAATATTGTTTGCTTTACTTTCAATTAGATCATAATAAATTTAAACTAAGTTCCTCTTCTTTGAAATTAAAAAAATGTTTTGTTTGCAAATTTGAAATCTTTTAGCACTTCATTATTTTGATTGTATCAGAAGCTGTTTAAAAATTATTTCTTTGAAATACAAAGTCTGTGAAGAACTTTTAACGATGTCCTCTAAAGACATGCCAGAATTCTGACGTGTTTACACAAAACAAAAACAATAACTAACCCTCTAAATAAAAATCTCAAGGAGGCTCTTCCTTGTGGATGTTAAGAAGATTAAAATTGTTCTGTAGAAAACAACTGTTGTTTTACACTTATTTATTACATGCTAAATGAATTATCCTAACACGATAATGGGAATATACAATAGCAACTCTCCAAATCTTGAAACATGGCCCCCTTAACACACAGAACCTATCTTCACATCATCGTTTCCCACCTCTTCTTGGGGGACTTGGGAAGAAACGTTTCTTCAGCTATCATCACGGCTATTCAAACCCACTTCACAAAGGCTTCCCTCAAACGAAAATCTGAAAATTTGAAATCCATTCCTCCGAACTAGGTTGTAAATTGCAGTACTAAGCGAGACACGGGTTGTCATATTGGCAACGAATAGGATAAAAGCCTTGTGGATCGGCAATTCCTACTAAATCATCATTTGCAAACACAAAAACCTGGTGATTCTCTGTTCTGGTAGTCCACTCCTGTGACATTAACCCACCATCACCTCATCATGTACACCTTTCAAGAAATTTGACAATTGTAAGATAAAGGCACCTGAAGAAACCCAATCAAAGCCCGAAATATCTGCAAATTGTCTAAATATTTGATGTAACACCAAAAACATCCATGAAATTAGATCCCAACAAGTTTTAATTTGTCTTTTTCATTTGAAATCTGCCAGTAAAATGGATAAAAAGTAACTACCCTATATTATAATTTCTGGTAATTTGTTAAAGGGTTTTTACTCTTAGCTTTCATTTAGGGCTGTATCATGTTCAGAGAAAGAAAGCCCAGTATGTCTGTCCTCATCAGCATCTGTATGATGAAGTGAATGATGAAGAGGCTTCATCTCAAGTAGCAGATAGTCATACTATACTGAAGAAGGATGTAAATATTAGGAAGAAGGATGTAATGCTGTCTGAACAGTGATCCTTCTGATGGACGGATAAATCTTAACAAAGGTGAGTGAGTGAGTGAGTGAGTGAGTGAGCAAGTTTAGTTTTACACCCCACTCAGCAATATTCCACCTACATGGTGGTGGTCAGTAATTAATCAAGTTTGGACTAGACAATCCTGTGATCAACAGCATGAGCATCGATCTACTCAACTGGGATACAATGACATGTGTCAACCAAGTCATCGAGCCTGACTAACTGATCCTGTTAGTCGTCTCTTACAATAAGCATGGGTTACTGAAGAGCAATTCAAACCAGATCTTCACGAGTCTCTCCTTCAGTGCATTGTACTACTGTTTAAAGTATAATGATAAATTCATTATCTATATACCTATCTTCATCTGAGAAAGCATATAAAACAATGGATAAATCTTCGTTGAATTTAGATATATACTTTTTATAATAAGTTAAAGATTATGGATGATAGAGTAACTTTTTTAACATGAAGTTCTTAAAACTCATTTGTTGCCACAAACAGCGGCAAAACTTCTGATGCTGCATTACGCAATACACTCACTCAACCTTCCTAGAAGCAGTATAACATAAAAATTCAAAGAAGATTTATCTCGCAACAGAAACACAATTGTTGAAGGTTAATGCTAGTCTAGGTTAATGTCAGGAAATGTAGTAAATAATCCAGTGACTGACATCATGAGCATCAATCATCCACTGGGATATAATGACAGTCATTTCCCAAGCCAGCAAGCCTGCTCCCCTCTTGTTGCCTCTTATATCAAACATTAGGGCTGCGCAATATAACCGGTTTAGACATGAAAACGATACATATTGGGATACGCTGATACAAAACTGGTATTTTGATATATGCATTCGGAAAACTTCATAACACTTGGAAATCTTCAGATATTTCTGTTTTTCACACTGGAAGTCAAAATTAAGTTCGGTGTGAAGTTGTGTTTGTAATTTTTGTCAAAGTGTTTCACAATGTTTTAAATATTTACTCATGGCCAGTGATCTCTGATATGTCCTGACCAGGTCAATTGCTGTCCAAATTCTCAGGGCTTTTTTTTAGAGTGGAGAAACTAGTTCAAACTAGTAACCACTGTGTTGATGTTAAATTGTTCTTTTCCTTGTTTCACTTGTGTGAAATAATATTTGCATTTTTATTTTGTCGTTATTAAAAGTTTTTATTAAAGCTGAAGCAAGCATAGTCAATTTGTTGTGTTTTTGCTATGAATCAAGCACTAACTCGATTATAAGTAATTTTTCGTTGAAAAAAACTCTTGCAATATATTGCAATACATATCGCAATATATGCCTTTGCATCACAATATATCGCAATATGAAAATTCTCTGCAATACCCACCCCTATCAACATGGTTTACTGAAGGCCAATTCTAACCTGGATCTTCACAGGATATATTTTAATACAAATGTGTACATCCAACTAAATGCTCAAAATTTGTTTGATCAAGTTTATTATCAACAAGAATTTTCAAAATAATCTCTAAATTTCTTTTTCAAATTTAAGATTTTTCACTACAATTTACACAGATCCCTTGAGGTAAGAAACATTATTTGAGAAGTTCAGCCATGTTTTTGCATTTTTTAAATATCAAAGAGAGTGAGTGAGTATAATTTAGCAATATTCCAGCAATATCATGGCGGGGGACACCAGAAATGGGCTTCACACATTGTACCCAAAATAAATATTATAATAATAAAATTGGTTGAAAATAATAAAATTGGTTAAATACACTGTTTATATAAAAACATAAATCATTGTCAAATTAAACGAAACCCTACAATAACTGGCTGCAGTGGAGGCCGGGTCTACAACTAATGGAGAAGGGACTCTGCCGTGACATAACCTCAACCAATCACATCTGCCCATGTTAAACAGATGCGATCGGTGATAATTTTCACAGAAACTATAGCTCTTCAATGGCTACTGTATCAACTGAGAATGGTTACGGAGTTATACAAGAAAAACAAGTATAGAGTGTGTCTGTACACATTGTGATGGAGAGAAGATGAGGGTGGACACTGTTTAGGCCTGTTTCACATGTGTGGGAGATGTTCAGATGGGGAGGGAGGGGGAGACAGGGGAGGGTAAGTGAAAGAGCGAACACGTGCAGCAAAACAATGTGCTGATGAAGTAAATGAGAATAGGAAGTTAAGCCATTTGTTTTCTCTCATGGTTATTGTGGGCAAATGAGAACCCACTAGCAAGGCTGAAACTCCTGGCTTGGATTACACAGGGGGGTTAGACAAGGAAGGTACTTTACACAGGGGGGTTAGACAGGGGGGTTACACAGGGTCCTCTATCTTCACCAGTGGAGGGTATCACCAGCTTTTGTTGCCGCTTTCACTTTGTTCTTCCGCACTGACTTGCAGGTTACCTTTCTACAAATATGCCTGAGTCCCAGAACCACGATCCTTCTGTATTATCACAGACGGAAGCTAATTAACCAATGGCATGCCTTCCTTGCCATTCCTGGCATCAGCAAAATAAACAATGGGAAATAAGTACCTCGCATATGGTTAATATGCTCGGTAATGAAGCTCTTTCATCTGATAATCTGTCTGCGCGTTTGGGCATATGGTAGAGGTATGAAATCGATTCATAATTATTTCCAATTCTCTTCTACTATGACATAGTCAGAAATGAACCGTTTACCTAAAACATAGCCCTGACATGATGAAGACAAGCTTGGAAAGTAATTAGAAATATGGGAATTCCATACATAACTACAACATTGTCAAGGGCTGTGCTTGTTATTGGGGAAGGAAAGACAACAAAAGTCATTGTGTGTAGGGTAACTGGCCCTTGCAGCAACAGAGGATCAGTACCACAAGCAGGGCTGGATGGTTTCAATTTGTTCTCACTGGAAGTATATTTTGTGTGAGCTGGGTGAGATAACTGGGAGGAGTAAGTGAGCATGGGTGCCTCTTTAAGAGTGAGTGAGTGAGTTTAGTTTGCACCACTCTTAGCAATATTCCAGCAATATCACGGCTTCACACAATGTGCCCATGTGGGGAATCGAACCTGGGTCTTCGGCATGATGAGTGAACGCCTTAACCACTTGGCTACCCCACCGCCCCTCTCTTTAGCAATATTCCAGCAATTTTATAATGGGGGACTTTGTTAATGCGCTTCACATATTGTTTCTGTGGGTGGAATCAAACCTTGGTCTTTGTTGTAACGAGTGAATGCTTTTACCGCTAGGCTACCTCACTGTTTAACTGAGAAGAAGGTAAGTTCATAGAACTTTTACATAATGAGTCTAGGGGCAATGAGTGAGGGGGTCTACTCCCATTTGTGAGAACTCCAAATTGTGAGACTCCTAGTTATGAGACAGTGGAGTAGGTAATTAACAAAGAAAACACACCATACTCCCCTGTCTGATAGAATGGATTAACCCTAGCTAATTACTGATTTGCTATGTAACTGAATCTTTTGGAGGTAACTTAATGAAACTTTATAAGATAAACTGATTAACATACTCCAGTAAATGTCCTTAAAAATTAAACACTTTGATAATGATAATAAAATAAACCAAAATGACTTTCAAACTTCAACAGTCAATAAAAATGTGTTATCATAATTACATATTCTTCTGAATAAATAAAATATTTAATGAACTATTTCTTCTTTGTAAATAAAATCTTTGATAATCTATTTCATTAATCAACTCATCAATGAACTGGGCTGATCCCACTTTCATTGTGGGGATGTGGAAACACCACCTATGTGCACTGAACCATTAATTAATGTGTCTCACAACTGGGAGTTCTCACAAGTGGGAGGACACCAGTGAGGTCAGGTGTTTCAACACACAGTCATGACTATTCTGTATCTACTTGTCAAGGTCCAGGTTGGAATTGGTCTTCAGCAACACATGCTTGTTGTAAGAGGCGACTAATGGGATCAGGGGTCAGGCTTGCTAGCTTCGTTAATGCATGTTATCAAATCCCAAACTGTAGATCGATGTTCGCTGTGTCAATCACTGGATTGCCTGATCCAGATTATTTACAGATCGCTGTCATATAGCTGGAATATTGCTGAGTGTGGCATTAAACAATAAACTAACTAATCATTCTGTATCAGTCAGGGGAGAGGTAGGTGATCGAGTCTAAGGCCATCATCGTTGGCAACAGAGAATATCATCTGGCAGTGAGTGAGTGAGTGAGTGAGTGAGTGAGTGAGTGTGTGGAGTGAGTGAGTGAGTGAGTGAGTGAGTGAGTGAGTGAGTGAGTGAGTGAGTGAGTGAGTGAGTGAGTGAGTGTGTGTGTGTGATTGAGTGAGTGAGTGAGTGAGTGAGTGTGTGAGTGAGTGAGTGAGTGAGCCACTGGGCCATCCCCTATGCATGTAAAGCATGAAGTGCAACAATAGAAAAAAACAGTCGTAACAACAAACCATAAAAGTTCAGCCGAAATAGAAATAAATATCCACGAGAAAACATGCCTAAAAACTTGAAATACTTAGTCACGTTACCAATAGACAATCTGCCACAACGTCGTGCCTCATTTGAATCCCTGAAAACCTCGCCAGTTCCTTTGTTTTTTGTGCACAGTTTCTCTTTTTCAGCAAGACAGGTTACACGATAAGATCTACCACAGCAGCTCCTCAAGAGCTTTATTATCATTGTTATTATGTCTGTTGTTGTTGTTTACTTCTGTTATTGTTATCCCCGCTGATAGTGTTACTGTCTGTTTTGTTTACTTTTACTACATGCTTTAACAATCTGTACCACCGTGAAGAATAGCTCCGATTTCAGGTGAGCTAAAAAATAGGCATTGTCGAACATGCCTTTTCATCATTTATAAACATATCCGCTTTGTGTGGTTCTTCCAACTTTGCTGTTGATAGGCTTAGACATGTTTATCTACAAACGGCAAAACAAGACGCAAAACTGGTTTTACAATCATCAATAACTATCACAGTGCAGGAAATAACTAAAGCAAGGTTTGGTTCTTTTCCGAATCACCACG